AAAATCTGGACGACCCGCGCATTTAGAATATTCAAGGCAAAAATATGGGTGGAAATCAGGCTGGAAAGCGTCACAAGTTGTCACAGGCACTTATTTAGCCAGTCTGCTTGTGAACGTCGATTTCGTCACCATTCCTGCCCTGGACTAGCACCGTAATCACAAAGTCGCTAAACGCTTGTGCTTGATTGAGAGACACTGCATTCGGTGCAGAACGTAGTTTTCTTCTTGCTCTGGACAGTGCCTTTGAAATAAAGCTGGAGGGGAAAAGAAAAAAGCCCCATGACCGAATAAAGGATGAAGACTATATCCTAGAACCACCTGCATAAAAACAAGATGTATTTTCGCCCACAAAATTGTATTTAATTACAATTGTATTCGAAATACCCACGTTTTAGTATTTAAATACACACGTCAAATACATTACCCAGTTTGTAATTAGATAGAAATGCAAAATACACAAAGTATATGAAATACGTATTTCAAATACTTGTATTTTAAATACTGCCCATCCCTGGACACAAGAGTTGCTGAAACACCGCGCTTGACGGCTTCTTCCGTGTCTTCTTCTGTGAAAGAAAAAAAAGTATTTTGATGATTGACACTACGAGAAAAGTGTCGCTGAAGACGTTTGTCCTGTTTGCTCTAATATACAGGGTGTTATTTTTTATTCAAAACAGATTTTTAAAAAAGGCGTCTTTACTGCTACGTGAATGCCGTCTTCACTATGTGTTTCTTGAGCTCGGCGGACATTCGAGAGGCGAACAACCGTCACAGTCTGGTGAGTCATTAACTAAAGTCTGCTAATTAACTTTTTAATTATTGATTTTATGGACCATGTTGCAAATGTGATTTTGAAGCCAGCCGTCCTGGAAGGCTATACCAACTTACACATTTAAAAAAAATGCAACTGGTTTGGAGATATCCGTCGACAATTTCTCCCCTTTCTATCATCCGATTCCGAAACTGAAAGTTCCAAGTGCGCCGGAAGCGCTGATCACGTGACGCTTGTAGAAGTGACGGTTTCGTGACGTACAAATTCGTCATGATCTCATATCTGCACTGCGGCTGTCACGGTGCGGCTCGAGGTATGCAAACTCGCAGGAACAGTCTTGAGCGTTCTCGCTTTTAATGCGTCATTGCCCTCGGAACTTCATTCGCGATTGTTTGTCGGCGGGGGATTCGCTTCGCCAGATAGCGTGGGCGCACGAACGCCGGCTCTGCCAGTTGTAGCGTTAAAATGGCTGCGCAAATTTATTTATTTATTTATTTTATTTATTTATTTATTTATTTACCCTCAAGGTACAGAGTACATTTTAGAGGGGAGTGAGCAAACAATAAATAAACGTAATTAATCAACCAAGGGTGCTGTTAATAAGTGATTGCTTAAAGAGTGAAATATCATTAATATCTGCAATAGAAGCGGGAAGGTGGTTCCAGTCAGTCGATGTGCGAGGTATGAACGAGGTGCTGAATTTGAAGGTGTTAAAATTAGGTATGCCTACCTTGTGAATATGGTCGAGACGGAATGAACGGTAAGAGCGCTCGAGCATTAGTTTCAAACGGAGAGATGGGATGTGATGATAAATTTTGTGAAACAGGCATAAACGAGCTGTTTTGCGCCGAGACGACAAACTGGGAAGTGACAAAGTTAATTTCATTGATGTTACACTGGCTGTACGATGATAGTTAGATAAGATGAAACGAACGGCTCGGTTTTGTGTAGCTTCTAATCTGCTGATAAGACCTTGGTGACCAGGGTCCCATATGGATGACGCATATTCTAATTTAGGACGGACTAAGGACTTGTATAAGGTTAGTTTAAGAGAAGAAGGGGCTTGAAAAAAGTTTCGTTTTATGTAACCCAACGTGCGGTTAGCATTACTTACAACATATTCGACGTGTGTATTCCAGGTAAGGTCAGAGGTTATATGGACTCCAAGGTATTTATAACATGTAACAGACTCAAGGGATTTATTGTTAATGCTATAAGTAGGACATAAACTGTTAGAGCGGGATACTCTCATTGACTTACATTTATTAGTGTTAAGTTCCATTTGCCAACAGTTGCACCAGAGAGCTATGACGTCAAGATCAGATTGCAAATGAATTACATCAGAATGGTCAGTTATATTACGGAAAAGGACACAGTCGTCAGCGAACAAGCAGATCGGCGAGGAAATATTAGTTACAAGATCATTAATATAAATTAGAAACAACAGGGGACCAATTACAGAACCTTGCGGTACACCGGAATCGACAGGCACCAAATGAGAATTATTATTATTTACGTTGTCGAACTGGACCCGATGAGATAGAAAGGCGATAATCCAATCAAGCACATAAGGATCAATGTTTAGAGTGCGAAGCTTATGGATTAGTAGCTTATGGGATACTTTATCGAAGGCTTTTGAAAAATCTAAGAAAACACAGTCAGTGTTAGAGCCGTTATCAAGGAAGGAGTGGAGCTCATGAGTGAAAGACAATAATTGAGTATCGCATGAAAATGGCCTTCTGAAGCCACGTTGAGCGGACGAGAAGAAACTATTTGATTCAAGGAAAGACACTAAATGGGAGCAGATGATATGTTCGAGGACTTTACAAGGAACACTCGTTAGAGAGATGGGACGGTAGTTGAATGGGTCATGGCTGTCACCTGATTTATGCAACGGTACCACCTTCCCTGTCTTCCAATCATCAGGTATGGACCCTGACTCAAGTGATTGGGAGAATAGCTTAGAAAGAATGATGGCCGAATACATTTTAGTGCTTTTTAGAAATTTAGAGTTAATACCGTCAACACCTGCGGCTGATGAACACTTCAACACATCTATTACCTTAGATACTCCTATGACATCAATGAAGATAGGGTCCATTGGTAAAAATTCCGAGAAGTTAGAGGAGGCACATAAGTGTTACTAAGAGCTGAGAATGATCTAACAAAGACATCATTCAACATAGAAGCACACTGGGCAGGTTCCACAATTATCCCATCAGAAGAAGTAAGAGATATATTTTTGGTTACGCTATTGCTGACAATATTCCAAAATCGTTTAGGGTTGAGAAGCGCTTGGAGTTTAGCAATTGGGCCCTTATTAAAACGGATGAAGACCCCGATTTTCTCACTAATGTACTCTGGACTAACGAAGCACAGTTTTGCCGAAATGGCAACGTGAACGTTCACAACGCGCACTACTGGTCTGATTCCAACCCTCACTGGCTCCGCCAGCATAACCATCAGGTTCGGTGGTCAGTGAATGTGTGGTGCGGCATGTTTTGTGACAGAATAGTGGGACCATTTTTTTCGAAGGCACACTGACAGCTCAGTCATACACAGCCAACATACTTGATGGTGCTGTCAGTGACTTCATCTGCGATCTCCCGTTAAGCGAGCTTAGGAGCACGTGGTTCCAGCATGACGGAGCGCCAGCTCACTTCTCGTCGCGTGCGCGGAGCTACCTCAACGCCTGTTTTTCCCAGCAGTGGATTGGGCGCGGTGGACCTATGTTCGCGCCGCCGAGATCGCCTGACCTGACCCCGCTAGACTTTTTCCTTTGGGGTCACATCAAAGACGAAGTCTATTCAACTGAGCCCCAAGATGTCAACGACCTGAAGAACCGAATTGTCTCAGCATGCGCCAACATCGAACCACACGTCCTGAAGCGGGTGGTTCAATCTACGAAGAAACGATTCATGGCATGCGTAGCAGTGGAGGGTCGCCATTTCGAACATTACTTGTAGTAATTAAGGCATTACCTTAGGGTCTAAGCACACCAGAAACTTAAATGATCAGCAATTCTGATCTCTGAAGTTATTTCGCTGAAGATAATAAATAGCAAAGACTTCTTTTTTGTAGCGTTTCATTTTCTTTCGTTAAGTCGACTGGCAGAGTCAGCGTTCGTGCGCCTACGCTATTTGGCGAAGCGCCTTCCCCGCCGACAAACAATCGCGAGTGAAGCTCCGAGGGCAATGACGCATTAAAAGCGAGAGCGCTAAAGACCGCCCCCGCCAGCTTGCATACCTCGAGCCGCACCGTGACAGCCGCAGTGCAGATATGAGATCATGACGATTTGTACGTCACGAAACCGTCACTTCTACAAGCGTCACGTGATCAGCGCTTCCGGCGCACTTGGAACTTTCAGTTTCGGAATCGGATGATAGAAAGGGGAGAAATTGTAGACGGATATCTCCAAACCAGTTGCATTTTTTAAAATGTGTAAATGGTATAGCCTTCCAGGACGGCTGGCTTCAAAATTACATTTGCAACATGGTCCATAAAACCAATAATTAAAAAGTTAATTAACAGATTTTAGTTAATGACTTACCAGACTGTGACGGTTGTTCGCCTCTCGAATGCCCGCCGAGCTCAAGAAACACATAGTGAAGACGGCATTCACGTAGCAGTAAAGACGCCTTTTTTAAAAATCTGTTTCGAATAAAAAATAACCCCCTGTATATTACCCCAATAAAAAGGTTTAACAGTTAACCGATTATTATAGAATTTGCTAGTTAGCTATAATCTACCCAGGTATGCCTTTCATCATATTACTAAATTAAAACCACTGCACGAGGAATGAACAAAAAATGGTCATTTTGCCAAAAAATGGTCATTATGTCATTTTGCAATGACATAGCGGAATCTTTGTATTCAAATGTAATTTCTTATGCTTTCTGCCGATTTTTTTTTTTCAATTAAAAAACCGCCATTTTTTGTTTATACGGACACCTTCGCTTCAAAGAGCAATTGTCGGTAACGTAGGTCGAGCATGATAATGACACGAAAACTATTTGATACGTAGGTTATAGAAAATTTCTTCTGTAGAGCGGGTGTTCATAATAACGGGGCCCATATTGAGGAGACATATATGGGAACGCAATAAAATAAAACAAATATAAATTAGTTTTGCCTAAAAATAATCTTCCAGTTTTTTTTAAATATAACAACACTATGACCAGCGTATTACAACCGAGCCCAGATGGTTGCTACGATACAGAGGTGAGCTTTATGTAAAGGCAACAGCCAGGTGGGCACCTGTGGTGATTCCTTTGGCAACCACGGGTAAATGGGTGATGCTCTTCAACCAGGTGACGTCATCCCAACTCTGCGATGCGCCGATGAGGGGATTCCTCATGGACATCACAAATTTCAGGTCGGCGAATACGTCTTCGGAGGTTTTTCGAAGTTGGCATACCTGCGTTTAAATCACACTATAGATTATCTTTACATTTTTTAGCGTGTATCTAATGTTAGAACCCTAAACGGCAGCTGACGGTTTTGGACAAAAACATGCCACCCAAACGAATATTTTTCGAACCGGAAATACTCATCACTATGAAAGTTTGAAACCTGCTCGCCCAAGTGGCAAAGATCCACGTATATATATATATATATATATATATATATATATATATATATATATATAAAGGGTGTTCTTTTTTTATTCTTACACATTTGTTTAAAAAAACGTGAAAGCTACACTAATGCGGTTTGTGCAGGTGGGTTTTACAGGCCGAGCGGACATTATGTGGGTAGCTAATCTTTGCGATAAGTCGGCTAATTAATTTCTTTTGTTAATTAACTTTTTAATTAGAGGAAATAGACATATGGTTTCAATTAGAAACTTGCTGAGTATCATTGAAAACCCGTAAATCAACTATTTTTAGAAGGATATAAGGCCGGGGCAGCATTTTACGGCGTTCTCTAAAAACGCTCTATTTGGAACCGTTCCTAGATTTCGGTTTCTTATCGGAGCGCATCTACGCGCCCGCGATCCTGCTCCCCGGTGGTCGCGGCGTGAAGCCACCTCCTCGCCTCCATCGTAGAATGGAACGAAGTACGGCGCACGTCTGTCGCGCGTCTCAGCCACTGGGGAGCAGGACCGCGGGCGCGGTGATGCGCTCCGATCAGAAACCGAAATCTAGAAACGCGTCCAAATGGAGCGTTTTTACAGAATGCTGTAAAATGCTTCCCCGGTGTTATATCCTTCCGAAATTGGTTGATTTAGTGGTTTTCGATGATGCTCTACAAGTTTCTAATTGAAACCGTATGTCTATTTCCACTAATTAAAAAGTTAATTAACAAATTTTAATTAATTATCCGACTTATCGCAAAGATTAACCACCCACATAATGTCCGCCCGGCCGTATAACCTACCTGCACAAACCGCATTAGTGTAGCTTTCACGTTTTTTTTTTTAAACAAATGTGTAAGAATAAAAGGAAATACCCTGTATATATATATATATGTATATATATATATATATATTGTCTGAGAATATATGGCTCTGAAGAGTCTAAAGAGGTTAAAGCAGAGCAACATTTGATTTTGTTTGGTCAGCCAGAGTCTGGGTTTCTTAAACCTCCGTCGTTAAATAGTTAAAGTTCGGCTTCGCTGCCGGTTCTTCGTTTCCTACGTGTCATATTTGGTTTAGGTCTGACAGTCTGGCAATTATGTGGGGATCGAGCCAGAGAGAAACCGAAGAAACGCCAAGGAAAAATAATCTGTCAGTAAATAGCGCCTTGGAGCATAACAGTATTAGGGCCGAGATGGACATCTAAGATTGCCAAGCTAGTGCCAAGAACGGCGCTTTTATCGAGTGATATCTAGGTGGTTTGTCTTAATTCCACATATTTGACCCATCTCTAGAAGTTCAGTCTCCCTGAAACATCTCTAGACAAACCGCATTTCAAACTGACAACATAGTGATAACTCATGTCAAATGTCGCATCAATATTTTGTGCACGATCAGAGCGTGATGCATGCCCAATCGCCCGATTCAGACGCTATATTAACAAATCATCATACGTAGAATGTTCATAAGTCGAATGATATGAGCGCACTTGTTTACGTACCGAAACACAAACCGCGGCATCAGACTAGAACGCTATTGGTAGCTATATTCAGATGATCGCTTACAAGTAAACCAATTGGAATTATGTGCTACCTACAGCACACTGTATATCGTTCTCTTGGTTGTAACACAATCGCAAACCGTCTCAACCTATCGCTTTCGGGTATCGGGGTATCGCTCTCGCGTATTGCTTTTAGCGTCTAAGATTTTCACAAAGTCGCCCTGCCAGAAACAAATTCTATGATAAAATGACAGCTCTCATTGATGAAACACTATTACTCTCTTGCGAACCCACGTTAAACCTCAGTGAAGGTGACCCCGTGGCATTGAGCCACTACCGGTACAAGTAAACTAGGTACAACAACACAGGATATCTATCACAAGAATACCGTTTGCAAAGCAAGCGGCCAAGGTGTGGGAACTAAAAAGACACAATGAGCAAATTCAGGAGTCCCAACACATCTGAACACTGCGTATAAAAAATACGCTTGTAGCGTAATGCAGCGCTCACCATATAAAGCTCACGCCCGCGCAACAGAGCTTGCTGGGAGTCTTGGATCGCTAGATTGGACATTCGTATAAAAAAGGTCACGGAAGTGACGTAAAAGAAGAGAGGAATGTACCGTAGCAACGCACGCACCGCGGCTCTTCTTTCTGGCGCATCTACGTCAACGCGCAATTGACGCCTGTCACCCGTTTGAGTGACGTTCGGAAATAAGAACCATATTAGAACTATATAGGAACTATAAGATATATAAGAACATTTACAAAACAAGTTTCTTATATGGTTCTTATATGTTTTAATATATCTTATATAGTTCTTGTATGGTTCTTATATGTTCTTATATATCTTGTATGATCCATATGTGGTTGTTAGACACAAGACATTTCTCACACAATTGGCTTTTTGACTAGGGCAGAGCCAGGCACCGGCGAGCGGTAGTAGCTACGCATTCCCTGAGGCGTCCCTACGTGCAGAAACCGGTGTAGGGTTTACTAGAAAACGAGGAGCAGTTTCTGCGTCTTGTGAAGCGACGGCAACCAAACCTATCTGTCGGTGACCATCCCAACTGTTCTAATACAAGTACAATTTCCGGAAAGTAAGATAAACCCAATGTGCGCTGATGAAACCAACCCCTTTTTTGTGTCCAGTTTTAGGACGCTGTTAACTAGACCAAACGTTGTTTCAATATAATACGGGATGCAGGATGTGCACTACGCGCCATCTTTAAACATCGTATAGGAGCAAGCAAGAATGTCGCGGTTGACGCCTGCTCATAAACAGGAGAAACTCTTATGTCGGAGCACTCGTTCTTCGACGCCCTACCCGACGACTTCAACCCGAGAGTGATTTTCGCTAGTGCTTCAGTCTGCCGTCTCGACGGCGCCCAGCCGAGGCCCCTCGGCAAAGTCACAATAGGTTGGGAGAGGAGGCGCCGGGGACCAGCTATCTCCGAAATCCGAATCCTTCAAACCCCTCACAAAGCAGGCCCACCTTAGAAAAGACATCACCCCCACGAGAGGCGCGTAAAGGGGTGTCCAAACAGGACACTACAAAACGCACGACTCCGACAAATCGTGAAAATTGAAGCGGACGCTTCTATTTTTACGATTTGTCGGAGTCGTGAAAATTTTCACGATCACGGCTTCTCTCCTCGCCTCCTCCACTTTTCTCTGACGTCACACGCCACCTGCATCTGGCTCACCTCGCCAACGCCCTCGCGTACCGCCGTCGCCTCGGCTCGAAGGCCAAGGGGGTCCGGCTTCGCGTGGATTTGGGACATTCCTGCGTCGAAGGGTGCGTTTCGCCCGCCTCAGATCAGCTTTCTTTGTCGAGATTCACTTTCGTCGTGATGGCGTCCGACGCGGTTCCGTATTGTGAGCGGAGGCCTTGAGAGATTGACCGACAGCCAACAAAGCGTGTGAGTGGCGCTCCGGACCCACGTGATGAGCTGAGCAAGGCCGCCGTGCAGGAAGCGAGGGGGACATTTGTCGGAGGGAAGTTTCCCCCCGGGAGCTTTGACGGAGGGAAATTTCCCCCCGACGGCCGGAAGCGGAGCGCGGCACGATTTGCCGGAGTCGTGAGTTCTGTAGTATCCTGTTTGGAGAGGCCTTAAGTTGGCAAAAGTCATACGCGCGAAGCGTGCTGAACTGAACTTATCACATTCGAGAACATTTCTTTAAAAATGCTCAGTAAATGTATAATTCGATCCTAGATGGTTTAAATATGATGGCGCGTGCAGTCCATGCGATCAATTCATATGGAATTCTTTTGAAAAAAACTTTTTTGGAAACACATCTGAAAGTTTGTGCGTAACGCCATATAGGATCTTTTTTTATACACCATTCCAGACTACCCGCGCTACATAAAAATGAGAAAGCGTTAAAATAACCTAAAGTGTTGAGGCGTTTTTTCTAACAGTTGGGGACAGAACGCGATTTAAAAACGACGCAGCGGTTAACTGCTGGACCCAAACGTCCCGCTTTGTCTTTTGGGGGAGTTTATTGCCTCCAATAAGAAACATGTCTGAACATAGGATTACTAATGATTTTATACCTCCTACAGCAAGTAGAGAAATTCAAAGAAAATAAAATATACGAATGTACACTTCGCGACACCGGCAGTTTTTTTTTTTTTTCATTTCTTTTAAACAGCGTGTCGAAGGACGAAAAATTTTAACACCTAGGTTTTGAGCCTGAGATGAGCCCGTGTTACCACATAAGTAATTGCGGAAATGGTGTAATTTGTCAGTATACTTATGATAAAAAAAATTCGGAACTGACTCCGTTGTACTAACTCTGTCACGCCGTGTACACCATCGTGAATGCAACAGAGGGGGGGGGGGGGGGGGATTGCTGCAATAGAAATGGATTTGTAGCTACGTCGCGAAAAAGCGACAACAAATCACAAGTGGCAAAAAAATGTTTTTGTTTTTTTTTCAGACATTTTTATTGCCGGTGTTTTCGAGCAGCAACACTCACTACTTCAATTCTTGTGGAAAGAAATGAAGCAGTTTGACTTCTTGCTGATGCAAAGGTGCGTTTTGCACTTTGTGCAGAAGGAGACGGGCTGACCTGTGCAACCTGGCATTTTGCAGCGCTGCCTTTTCCGTGCCACCTCAGGCCAGAGTCCCACACTATCTTGACGAACTTCTCGGTGCGGTGTTTTGGCTACTAGCCCTCTGTTCTTTTTTTTTCTCAATCTCAGCATCCACAGAGCGAGATGGCCGCCCTCTTTTTCTTGACAGGTCTTTGTTTTGCTCGCACAGGCAGCTTGCTATAGATGCCTTGAACATTAGCAGGTCTAGCTGCTCCTTCTTTGAAACAGCCAGGGCGTCGCAGTTTCTCCGGTACATCGGCCAGCTGCTGACTAGAGCCATGTCCACGAAGTGGAAAAAAAATCGGAGGTAGAATTTTTTCGATTTTAGAAAAATTCTGTAGTATGCCATCAGACCATCCAGCAGGTCCATACCACCCATAAATGAGTTGTACGTCTTCACAGCAGCTGGTTGCGGCACATCACATGTCTCCTTTCGCTTGCGGTCGCAACGCTTGCAATATCCCAGTGGCTCTGCGCTTCCAAACGTGCTCACGATTGTGACTCCGCGACTGTCATACCACTTGACAACTCTGACGTCTACATCTTGAAAGGTAGCCTGCCTTTCCTCGTGACTCCCTGTCCCGTTCTTCTTCATCTCGCTGTTGCTTGGCAGTCTACAACCAAGAATCCTATTGGCACGGATAGTGCCCATAGCAGAAATGCCTCGGTGGTGCAGCTCGACAAGAAGCTTCACGGACGTAAACCAGTTGTCGAAAAACAGCAAGTACGTCTTGTCAAGTGGAATGGTCTGAGAGAGCTGAAGCACAATGTTTGAACTTGCGCCAAGATCCGGCGATTCGCCCAGTATAGATGGAGAAATCATGGACCATCCCATGGATATCACAAAGGACAAAAATTTTGTAGCCGCACTTATGGGGCTTGCTGGGGATGTACTGTTTCAGCGATGATCTGCCTTTGAATGGGAACATTTGTTCGTCGATTACCAGCTTCTGGGTTTTCGGTAGTCCTTGGAACTTGGGCAGAAGTATGTCAATGAACGGCCGGATCTTGAAAAGTTTGTCTTTTCCATCGTTTTGAGGCAAGAGGTCATTGTCAGTCAGGTGGAGGTTATTTTTTATGTTCTGCCAAATGTCACGGGGCATGACCTGTGCGACTTTCTCCACTCTTGTACAATGGCTCCAGTACATCCGGGACCTTGGCAGGCTGTAGATCGACATATACATTGTTATCCCCAAAAACTGCTCAAGCTCGAGACACGACAGGTACAGCTGCTTGTTTGCATTCTTCTGAACTGCATAGAGATTTGACTGCTCAGTAATGCGGCTCAAAACACTGTCGTCAAAAAAGTAGCGAAAATATACAATCGGCGTTTTGGTTTCAGCGGGGGGATGTGGCAGCGAATCTTCCCAGGACGGATCGCAAGATCGTGGCTCGCTGACTCGCTTCCAGAGCACACTTCTTGGCATTGATGATGAAGGCTCGGAAGGCTCGTTGCTTTCATCTTCATCAACGTCTGCACAGGAGCGCGAGGAAAGAAATACTTTTCCTGAACAGGCGCTTCTATCGATTTTGAATGGAATTTTTTGCAATAAAAACACAGTCTAGTCATCACCGTCGCTCACCTGTTCCGCTGTCGGACTCCTCCGTTGGAAGGGCGGAATACGTGCTTGGGCTGTATTCATCAGTGTCGCTGTCGCTAAGGCAGCTGTCCTCACTTTCCTCAGCAGGAGGCACCCGGACTCCATAGAACCCCTTCGGGTCCATCTTGAAGTAGAAACAGTTACTCATTACTAAAAGAGGAAGATATTTAGCGGCTTACAACGTGAAACGAAAATAGAGAAAGGTGGCGCATTTCAGGGGACCTTATGACCGAATGATGCGAAAACGCGACAAAGCATGATTTGCTTCAAATGCCAATTTTATATTTCAGAAACGATCCCTTTCAAGAAATGGCATCTATTCTTCATAGCTTTGTTCGTCATCTGATATTTTATGAAGTTGAAATACTTTCCTTTTGCAACTGTAGAACGATGCAGACGGATTGCTGCGGCTGTACCTCATTCGGCGTTGCACCTTGCTGGAAGAGCTGCTCGTAGTGCTTCGTTGACTGAATCACAGATGGCGCCACTTTCTTCCTCGCTCGCACACTTTTCGATGAGGATATCCATGCGTGACGATTGCGCCTCCGAGGTTTCAGTTTCGGTTTTGAGGCATGCAACCGGTATGTTGCGAATTTGCGACAACCGGCTAGAAGAGGTTAAATCACCGATAAGGTGTTGACTACCATAAACTTCGTATCGGAAACAAGCTGGAATACGAAATCGTGTTTGAGTAGTCATGGAAATAGGCATTGCAGGCGCAAAAAAAATTGCTCACTTTTTGAATTTTTTGGAGTCAACATTAATATGTGGTTTGTTTAAATTGTGACATGTTTTGCTAAAACATAATCACTAAACTTTTCGCAACCGTAAGCTAGACCCAACGCCTCTTTTTCAATCTGGGCATAGCGACGTTCGGCTCCAGTGAGCACCCGGGACGCGTAGCCTACCGCGCGCCAGTCCTTTCCATACTGCTCAAGCCCAAGAGCGACTGCGGACATATCCGTCGACGATTTGATCGGTAAATCGGGGTCAGAAATTGCTTCTACAGGGGTTTGAGTAAGCTTTTGTTTTAGAGCGCAGCTCTTCGGCGCCTGTTTCCGGCTGGAGCGGCGTCGGCGTCGGCGTAACCGCGCGGTTAATCATCGGACATTTCGCATGATGATATCGCACATGACGTCACGTGTGACGTCATGAGGGTCACTAGTGACGTCATAGATGACGTCACACATGACGTCGCGTGTGACGTCACGAGGGCCACCAGTGACAGCACACATGACGTCACGAGGGTCACCAGTGGTCATAGATGACGTAATGAGTAATGTCACATGTGACGTCACAAAGGTCACCAGTCACGTCACTCATGATGTCACCGCACGTTTGCATTACGGGTAAATTTTTCCCGCTAAATGTAGCGGAAAAGGTTGCCCGCTGAATTTAGCGGAAATCTTTCCCCGCTGAATTTAGCCGAAAATATCACCTGCTAAACTTAGCGAGAAATTTTCCCCTAAATCGGAGGCGAGCAGGAGAGGAGGAGGGGTGGGTAAGAATGAGGAGGAGGGGCATACCCTCCTCTTCGTACCCTTCTGCTCCTCCCCCTCGAGAGCTGCGCTCTAATTCGGCGTTACAGGGGATTGTAAACATCTTTCTTTTTTTTTTTTGCTCCCACTCACTTTCATGCGCACTGTTTCAATCGAAAATAGTGTCGTTTCAAACTAGACCGCGCAAGGCCTCCGTCTGGAACGATAGGTGTGATAAGTGCTTACCGAAGCAGTTACCGCGCGCAGAAAACGCTAAACTTCTTTCTTTTCTTTTCTTTTTGTCTTTGACGTAGGATTTTGTGCCACAAACGTGTCCTGAGGCGACAACCGTGCCCAGGTTCTCGTAATTTCTCTCCGGAGATCTCCGAGATTCGCAGCGGGCGCACCAAACGTACGCGACTGAGACACACGGCGGTCCCGACGCTTGTCCCACCGAGCGCGGCGAAGGCTTTGGAGGCTCAGGCGGTGCGCCGTTTTTGTTTTGGCAGCCGTCTTCCACGACATATCTTTGCATGGCCGAAGGCTAAGTTCCTCGCAGCGGCTAAGAGGCTGACGCTTCAATTCAGGGTCCGTTTCGCGAACAGTTCGCACAGAACACAGAAAATGCAAAGAGCTGTGGTACGCAGCCTTCTGTAGCTTGAACGACAGTGCGTGCGTCGTTCACTTCCGCAGCCAAGTAAATTCAAGAGCAAATCCAAAAGCGAGGGGCGTGCGCTTTCTAAAAAAAAAGGCATCAAGCGATTGATTCATAAATCTCCAAGACACTGAATTTTTTTTCTTGATTTCAAATGTGTACCTCAAATGTATTTACTTCTTGTTAATCGAATAAGTGCGGAATTAAAAAAAAACAAAAAAACTACGGTATTTTTTTAAAAGATGGTATTGGTTAAAGAACGCCGGCACTTTGCCCAAAGAATATGTTTATACCGGATAGCTGACAAAATATCACCCATAACCATTCCTGTTCTTTCTGACGCCGCCTCAGTGTGATAATATTTATAGATTACCCTTTAAGTGGCCACATTGATATCTAAATCTACAGTAGAACTCATCAAAGTCTCGAATAGAGAGTATATTATTCCATTCATTTGTTCTGTAACCAACTTATCAAAGCATGATTCAATCAGTTATTCCTACTGTCTTTGTTATCGCTCTGTTAATTACATCGTAAGTTGGAATGCAAGTTGACACGCCACGAAGTAATGGTCGGCTAATTTTTGCTAGATAACGGCCGATTTCGCAACAACATTCGGAGCGCGTATGCTTATATGATCAAGACATGAAGTCACAAGATGATCACCGAAACGTTCCAACTAGCCCGCATAAAGGTGTTACTTCAAGTTCCTCTTAAGTTGGGGCTAAAATCAGTTCTTCCAGACCGAACTGCCCGCTAAAAGGTTTAGATACTCATAATTAATAGCCGGCGGTCTGAAGCGTATCAATGTTGAAATCACCTACTGAACAATAGTGGACAGACTGAAAAGTGCTGTGTTTCCCTGAGTTTTATCATTTTTAAAGGAATAACTGTAGGAGGCTTGTAAAAAGCTATTTAAATCAAGGACCAGTTTGAATCGCATAGCATCATAGAAAAAGAGTCGTAATAGAAAAACTCTACAGCAAGTTTTCTGTGCACTACCAGTGTTTAACAAATATCGTAATTACTCCTCGTCGACCGATCGGCTGTGTCAGAAAATGATTTATATGACGGTATCTAGAAATCATCGAAAAATTGTTTTTAACGTTGATCTCCGTTAGCACGAAAACGTCAAATAGTGATCACATATTCTTTACAGTAGTACCAAGGTGGTGCCCCTATTTATGAATACTCCTAATAATTGCATGTAAAAACTCAAGAGTACTATCAGTGACTGCTTCCGAGAAACGTTGAAATGAACAAAAATCTGAACGTCGACGGGGAAACTACTTTTAGTATTCGACACGCTTGTTGTCAGCTTTTATTCTTAAGGCGTTTAACAAAGTTCGGCAATTAATTCAAGCTCCGCCAACCAATGGATCCGTACCACAGACGAGGTTCCTGCCTTTTTTGCCAACAGCTTCCCATTTTTGATCCAAGGAAATGTATACTGCTTGCGTCCTGCTCTCTCATGTACGATCCAAAACTTCTCTGTTTTTTTGTTTTTTTTTTAGCTTTTCATTTAGGAAAAGTTTGGGCAACGAATCCTTTGGTCCTTGAGTCCTCCGCTTACCTCGTGTGGCGAGCCATTGCTCTCTTAGTGACACTGATGACAATCAAACCAGGACAACTGAAGGGCCGTCGCTCCGAGATGGGAGTCGATGCACCGCCCGCATGTACCTTGGCTAAAAGTTTTCGAAGCCTAGCTGGTCAGCCAACTTGCCCGCCACGGAAACTAAGATTTCACTTGGGGCATGGAGGAAGTTTATGTATTCACGGTTTGAGAGACAACTGTACTAAAACTTCTTATATAAGCACCTAAAATAATCGAAGCCTTCTACTGTACATCTTCAAAGGTACGTCATCAGACTCAAAAGTCGCCAACTCATGAACTTTGTCCGAGCCCGACACGGGAGCGTCTTTCGACGCGTAGGCTGGACACGACGTCCAGCTGAACGTTGCCGCTGCGCTCGTGTCCAAATTGTGTCCGCGCTCGATCTAATTATGATGACAACACAATTGAAATGCGCAGGCTTTGATTGTTCTAGGTAGGTTTATTCAGAATGATATTTTGTCTAAATTGGGAAAAATTGACCAATTATATGGATCACCTGCAGAAATAAAGCGAAGTGCTTACGGAATCGCTACAAATTCTTCTGCCGGTGATGGTGCCGTGTGACCTAGTTTTCCATGAAGTTTTTCATTGATTCCTGGCATTACGAAACTTTAACTGGAGATATTATCGGTGCTTTTAGACTCTCGAAAGGTGATGAACACTTTTATTTCCAAAGAAATTTGAATCAATACGGTCAACGGAATGTGTCTTTTCTAATGTAGCTTATTTTAATTATTGGATAGTTCCATGGCGGGTGAGGAACAGAACTCTGCTGGTTCGAAACTTTGCGCAGTGTCTAAGCTGCCAGAATTAGTTATTTGAGCAAATCCAGACACACTTCTGCTTTCTGATATATCCGCAAGATATATTCTTCTCTATGCCCGGTAAGATGATGAAGGTCTATGTTCGAAGGGTTTTTTGTAGTCTAAGGACACCGATGGGAATAGCGTCCGCTTCAGCTATAATTCGAACATAGAAAGTGCATTTTGGGAGCCCTAGAAAGACAACGTAGGAATTGGACCTGCATATTCTTAAGCACCCTTATATTTTTACAAAACATCACATGAGATATAGGCGGACTGTATCGAATAAAGCCGGCGAAAAGGGCGTTATATAGTTCGATAAGTGGAGCCATGGTGCACCGCACGTAGTTCCACATATGAATCGTAGGAACTTGCAGTCCTAATCAGCTTTCGTTTCGATTTCTTTAGGCGGCGGTCCCACGACGGCCATCTTGAACAACCCATTAGTTCAACCACTAGATGGCGACACTCATCCGTGTGGCCAGGAAACAGGCTCGTGGCACTGATGTTCCTCCTCTGATCTTAATTTCCTCCTTTTTGCTGCTCGCCCGTCCACGTTCAGCAGTCAGCGCGTGCTCTCGCTGACCGATTTGCTAG